AGGAGAGGTAGCTGAAGAGTTTGATGTGTAATAAGTGTATGGTATGTATAAGTTGTGTCATTAACTCATTCACTGCCAGCGTTTCTCACCGTTTTTACAGTTTTTTAAGAGTCACAGAACGTTGCGCGCTAGCATGATGTCGATACCAAAACAACCTACACAAAGAGGAGACTCACCTCTTACATCAGGAAGAAGCCGCGTGTTTCGAGCGTTATCCGTTCTTTCATAATCCGTTGTCGAATTGTGATCGGCAGACGCTTTTCCGGTTCGCGCCTCACTTTTTTTACAGGAACGGACCAAAACGATCTCCTAACACATGGATGTGTTGCTTCCTGATCATGTGATCTGTGACGTATGCAGATGAAGATCGGCTTCAGGGCTGAGATGTTTGTTCTCTCAGCGCGGGGGCGCGTTCCGATGCTCAAACAGTAAAAAATGCAAATGACGACTTTAGTCATCATTGGCAGTGAATGAGTAAAAAGACTGAAAACCAAAAGACTCCTCTACTTTTCAGGTGGAAAAATGACATTTTTAGAACCTATTGGTTCATATTTATCCTCCATTCACCCATAATCTATTCAGAAAGAAGGATTTTCTGCTGATTTTGCTCCTCTCGTCCACACAGACGATTAGGTGATGAAACTATATTAAAGTACTTTTCAGACTGGAGGCTATAGAAATGTTTTACAAAACTCTTAGTGGACTGGTACTACAAATACATTCATGAACTTTGGCTAAGCACTTTGCACACACCCATCCTTTTTCTGTGCACGAATTAAAAACAATCATAACTTTTACAGCTTTTTTGATCTGTCTTTAATCCTAATCCTGCTGCTGTTAGACTTTGTTGATCTGCTGAAATGAGTAATAGCGGAGAGGACGTTGTAGTCGTGAGTTTAGGGAGAATCTTTAACCAAGCTAAGAATGTTCTTCGTCTGAGTTTTATGTCTCTAATGAAGATGCTCTCAGTGTTTTTGTTACAATCATCTGGACAATTTTTCTAAATATCTCCTGTTTTGTTTTTATCCAGAGTATAATTTATTCAGCGGTATGTGGATGTTTAGATTTGCTGCTTCGACACCTGTCCAAGACAACGATGGTGCCAAATGATGCACGAGTAAATAGTAATTATTGTTTTTACAGACATGAGCCCACAGCAGAGTTAACTAACCGGTTTCACTGTTTTCACACCACAGCTGCGGTGATAGCGACGCCAGATTGTTTAAGATGATATCAGGGAGGAGATGTGCAGCACCTCCTTGCACAACAGGAGGAGACTGTATTTAGCTCCTTTTCACTCGCCTCCGACTGCATGGGTTCTCCTGCTGAAAGATAATTTGCTCTTCTGCGCGGGATGCAAGATGTCTCAGATGAAAGGTAGAGGGAAGGCCTGGGGATGGTTTGATCCGAGGCGGAGAGGAGCTGCTGCGTGGTGGGTTGTTGGGGAGAAACTGGTCTCTCAGCAGTCTTTGCTAAACGAGGTTAATTGAATCCGGGTAATTGCTGACCTTCCTGTCTCGGTGAAATCACAGCTTTAACTGATCAATGCTTTTCATAAATGTATGCCTCAAGGTCATTCAGCTGATTAGACCCCACACACACACACACACACACACACACACACTGGCTGCATCGCCATGCTCTGGTGGCCCATTGTGTGGAAATGAAGCGTGGAGGCGTTTGAACACTAAAGGAATGCAATTAAGCATGTCTCGGATTTTCTAAATTAATTAGCTTGCTAAGTTGTTAAGTAAAAGCAACGCGAACATGCTTCTTTGCTCGGAAGGCAAATGTATTTTTTGCCTGGCAGCAAATGTCTCATTTTCTGCTTTCAAGGTTTTCCGCCTCTTCGCTCCTCCTCTGCAGCCCTGCAATCATTTGGAGATTTGGAGGGCAAATAAGCCACTGGTGTTCAAGGAAGTTGTGGACTTTTTAAAACAAACTGTGGTTTAATTTGCAATTTGGCATTCCCTAAATCTGGGAATTATCATTCAGCATGTGGTGCTTTGGAGAGTTAGCACTGTAATAGCGGGGTTTGCCGGCCAAGCGTGCTCCTTTAACTCCTTTTCTTCCTCCCCTGTTCCTTTTACGCCTGCCGAGGAAACGGGAGGATTTCACAGCTGCTGAGATCTGAACTCCGGCTGGGCCCTGTGACCTCCTTCTTTCTTCTTTCTACCCCCCCTCCCTCAGTCTCACTCCCTTTTTTCTCCCTCTATCCAACAGCCTCTTTCCTCAGGGAGCTCTTGTGTGGCTCAGAGGAAGCTGAATCATAAAGCATGGCTAATGAATAGAATAGGGAAGGAAAGCTGAGGCCTGCTGACGGCCCTCAAGAGAGAAGGCCGGGCCCCTGAAGCCCCAGGCTCAAATAGCAGACGGCCCTCGCAAAGGTCAGGCTTCCTGCGGCCCGCTCCAAGGGCTTTTGGCTCCTGAGCAATGTGGCTTAAATTTCCCCCCATAGTTTTTTTTAAATGGTTAAATTTCCCTGTTTCCTTTGGAAAACTTGGCCTTTGCTCCTTATTTTCACTGTCTCTCTGCTTCTCTCTGTAAGTGTTTCCCTTCTGTCTCATCTTTCTCCGTCTTGTTTTTAATGGCAGCCAGGGTTGCCTCAACAAAGAGAGTGTGAAGAATTTGTTATACATGACCTCTGCACACCACAACCACCAGCAGAGCCAGACTGCCAGCAGCTCAGCCCAGCGAAAAAATGTCAACTTGACCAACAAAGCCCAGAACGTTCTCCAAAAACAACAGCCACCCCGATCGGAGCTCTGCTTCGGCATGCCTTCTTGAGAAGTGCTTTTGCAGGCCGGCCTTGTAATTGTGGATTGTAAAGCTGACTCATACAGGCTTGGCAGGTGCAAAGCACAGCGTTGACCTCTGAACATCAGTTGTTGATGTGATTCTGGATCCAGCTGGAACATGAAGAGCTCGTGTTGACTCTCTGAACAGCCGGAGTAAGTTTAAGGAGACCTGGATGGCGCTAGTAAATAACAAACACTCTCATCAGCATGTTGTGTCTGTCGTGCTCTCTGGATAAGCACTCTGGCCTTAGCAAGCATTACAGTGAGTTATAGCACTACCTACCCTGTTTTTCTCTGGGTTTGTGACCCCATGCCACTCGGAGCGAGACCCGGAGCCAGCTCCCGTGTCCATTTGACAAGCTTCATTTCACTCAGAGCCCATATTTTTCTTCCAGGGCCTGCGGGGCCATGATTCAAGGCTGAGGTTGTGCTGCTGCAGAGCTGAGGCTTGGTACTGGAGCATAATGTCATCCAAAGCCAACAAAGAGCCTGTGTTGTAGAGCAGCGCCCTGGTTCTGGGAGAGTGAAAGGGGGCAATGCACAACACTTTGTCTTTCCTCGGTAGTCTTTGGCTTTGTCTCCTGTAAGACGAAACAGGAAATGTTTTTGTTCTGCGGAGTGTTTGTCTGCCTTTGAATGCTCGACTTATAGAGATCAAAGAGGTGTTAATAGTTCCTCTTTGCTGTACAGAAGCAGCTCGTGTATGCTGAACAGCCATTAGCCCACTAGCTGACAGGTTTTTCAGGATTTATTGTCGTTTTTTAATCTCATAACTGATGGCTGCCGCTGCTCTAACAACTTTCTCTCTGTTGATTGTTTTGTTCTCTCTGTAATTGTTGGTGTTGAATCAGAAGCTTCGGACAACTGGCTTCTGGTGTTTCTTCAGGTGCTGCAGAATTTGACATAAATCAGAATTGCTCTGTAAGTAACAGTTTTTCACGCAGCTTTTTGGGGTCTCCCCTAAACGGCATTTGTATTTTTATAGCTTGTTTATTGGCGTTAGTGGGGCAGCACACTTTGCTAGAGTCCTGCTGTGGTTATCGCCGAGACGAGACATCAAGCGCAGACGTACAAAAATCCTACAGAAAAGTAACGCAGGACCGTCAAGTAGAAATCTGAGGTCTTGGAAGGAAGACAATGTCCTCAAAACACTAGTGAGGAACTAAGGGGGATGCCAAGGACAGCCATCTGTGTTTACAGAATCCTTCGCTGTCTCTTTCTGTCTCTTGCTCAGAATCGCTGTTCGTTCTTTACATATGCTCCTTTTGTGCGGCCTGAAATACAAGCGTGGCAGTTAAGGACGCTCGGGACCTTTGGGTGGAACATATGTTCGACTCCTGCGGATTTTTACAAGTCTGCAGATCTCACATGAGAGGAGCTGCAGCAAAAGGAGTCTGTGGCCTCCTGCAGCCCATGTCTGGGCTCATAAAGCAGGCTGAGGAGGATTCTTCTAGTTAATAACACTGCCCAAGCACACAATGTCAGGTTCTGTGTGGGTTTGCTGATTTTTTGTTATTGTCATCAGGTTTCTTGCCTGGTCAGTGAGGCATTTCATGAAATTCTATATGTTTTTAATGAAAGAGTGCTGGCCAGCACATACAGGCCTTTCTAAAGGGAAATACTTGGCAGTGTTTAGTCTAGAAGTCTCCTTTATTACTTTTACTCTTTTCTACTTCGACACAATCCGTTTGATTTTAGTCCACCTGGTTCACACTCCTCGCTGTCATTCAGAACTGTTTTATAAAGGTCATGGAGACTTTACCTTATTTGAAAAGAAAAGAGTAGAAGTGTGTTCTTTTAACGAGATTTTTTTAATGATTTCCAGCGTGTGTGTCCTTGTAGCTGCAGCCTTTGCTGCATAGCCAACACTCCTCTGTTCTTGGCAGCGTTTCTTCTGAGGGTTTTCAGGTGGCCCAACAGTGCCATCTAATGTTGCTTCATCAGGGACAAAAACACAGATTCTGTTGGGAGGGAGCTCCTCTCCTTGGCTGATTGGAAACTGGTGATTGATTGTTTGTTTTTCCGTGCGAGAGCTGAACTTGTAGGTCCCAACACCCGTGCCCATGCATGGGTGGACATCATATGTGCACGTGGTAGCATTTAAACTATTCCATTATAAATGTATTTGTTTTGTTTTTTCGGTTTTGGACATATTTCTTGTAAATTCAGGCCGATCCACTTAGAGTGTGTTTGTTTTTCCAGGTGTCTGATGTAGGATCAGAGAAGCTCTTTTCTCCTACCACACCCAAAGGTAAGTCAGCTGCAGTCCTTTCTCCTCCTCCTCCTCTTTTTTCATACACATAACCACAACAGGGTTCTGCAAATGAGTCTAATTGTGTTCCGCTCTAATCCTGGAGCTTCCTTTCAGATTTAAATGTCGGCAGACATAAACAAGGTCTGGTGACTACATATGCATGCATTTTGCCTGGGTGCATAGTGGCGTGTCTTGGACGACCCCACCAAAGGCTTAGTCCTTCTACATATTGGTTCATTAGAGGGGATTTAAAGCCTCCCTGCCACATGCTCCCACAAATGGGAACTTCCCCTCAGGCATTACAAGCTCTCTGACAGCAGGCCTGGATCATAATGGATGCCAAAGGAAAGACAGAGAAAGAGCTTTGTCAGCCCCTAGACAGCACAAACTCTGTGTGCATGCACATATGCACATATGTGGATTATGAGGCCTCCTTTGCTTCAGTATGGCGTGACTGTGTGTGTGTGTGTGGGGGGGGGGGGGGGCTCAGCAGAGTTGGTGCTTTCGTGTTTATGCGGTGACATAAATTGGTGGATATATTTGGCATGTCACAGACGTCATGCAGGCACACACTGTTTGCTGCATCTGAATATTTTCTACATGCGATGATGCTTGGCAGGTTGGAGCAGGGGTAAAGGTGTCAAACTGTGGATGTGGGGGGCAGCAATCAGCCGACTCGTGACAGATAGCAGCATGCAGACCATGTCCCCTCTGGGCAAGAAACAGGAAGAAGGCCCATTAACACCAGCTGAGGGAGGAGGTGGAGGATCGGCTCATTGTAAACCAGTCAGGAGGGTTTTAGATACTGACGGGGGGGGGGGGGGGGGTCTGCAGACGTACACAGATCAGCATGTCTCGACATAGCGGAAGTAGCCGTTCTGCTTACCTGATCTTTCCATAACTGTTCTGTTTTTTTTTGTGTATTTGTTGGCTTTAAATGTTGTAATTCTAGTAGCTAGGTTGTAATATTTCCCAACAACTGTTTCTACACGCTTATCTCCAAGCATCCGTTCTCTTTCATCGACATATGAAACGGGTAGTGGCTTGGTTTTGTGTACAGTAGCGTTGAGTTTTTCCACTCTCCACTGAGAGAAAGCAGGAGAGCTTTCTGAGTGACTGAGATGACCTGTGACCACCAGCAGCCTCGTGAAAACAGCATTCGCATGAACAATGGCTGCCAGACTTTTATGGCGCAGCAAACAGCTGGATCGCGTCTGACGCCATATGTTCCCCACCGAGCTGCCGAACAGCTTCTGTTATCGGCTTCCAAGGCGTTCACTCATTTCCCCCACATGCTTGTTAAAATGTTTGCTCCACATAAGCAGACACAAATGCTGTGGAAACGCAATGTTACAATCACACACCCGACCGAGGCCTCTAATACACACTCAAAATCCCCTTTATTTCAGCAGATGATGGAATGCGTTTGTGTCTCGCGCTAATGCGTGAGCAGAGGATTTACGTCCCTGGAATTACACCCAGACAATCCAATCAAAGTCTCTTGTGATTATCGCACAGATCAACCAGATCCTGTTTAGATGATCTGGACAAAGGGCACCAGATAAGAGTTTAGGGGTCAGGAAAGGTGAGGCATCAAAAACAAAAACAGAACCCGCTGTTTGGTGCAGTGATGGTAAGGAGGATGTTATCACGCTTAAATTACAGTGTGCCAGCAAGCTATTATTTAGCATTCCAGTGTTGGTGTTTGGCAGTAATGGATGCTGGGACGGTGTTTGTTTTTGGCCGATCCTGTGGATAATGTGTGTGTAATACAGAGAAGCCCACGGGCTGTTTTCTTCTGGTTTGGTATGCAGCAGCAGCAGCACAGCATATGTGGCACGCTACCAGCCTCACTCACGGCCCTGAGGGACTGATGAGAAGCCTTCTTTCCCCTGATCACCGGCTCTGTCGAGCCGTTTGCTACTGCACTCTCAGACGGATGCAAACACACACACAGGCAAACATTATGCTGTACATGAATACCTAATGCTGTGTATCTGTATAATTCACTAGATAATGAGTGTTTCCTTTACTTGCACTCTCGTTCTTAAACGTTCTGCTGCCCTTTCGACTTTACTTTGACCAGCGGTTACGGGTACAAACAGTTGAGGTTGCATTCAAATTGTACACAGGCCCACAGCCTGTCGTGGTAATGAAACGGTTCAGGGTTCACGGAGAAGAGGAAAGACCAACATTGTAATCAGCAGCGGCAGAGCACTGTAATTACGCACACAGAACAGGGTTCGGGGCAAAACCCGGACACCCTTTTCATTCTCTCCCTCATATTTAGTTTTCATCATCGCTACATCGCTAGTCTGTTGACAGCCTCTTATTCGTCTGAGCCAACGCTGATAATAGCACAAGGTAATGGTATCTGCGGCAGCGTGTAATTCTCTCTGGGTGTTTTCACCTACCAGCTCGTTGAGTTGGGCCGAACGTCTGTTTGTGTTGGTGGTTGTGATGTAGGAAGGTACCGCAGAGGGCAAGCGTTATCTAACAGTTATTGGTTTTTGTTTATTTCCTGTCTTAAACCTCCTGCAAAGTATCGATTTCCTGGAGGATGGCGTTTTTAAGTAAGAACGCTGCAAAGACTTGTGCCCCGCTCAGGGCTGCTGTTATTGAATCAAAGGTCAGAGTTTGCTGTTGTCACTTGCTTGAAGGCAAACAAAATGCTAAATGTAGCTGCTGAGCATGTGCGGGGCACATCAACAGAGCACAGATAAACACTTTACATGCAGGTCCTCTTATGACATTTCACAGCGCCGGGCCTGTGGAAGTGGTGGGGAGTTATCACCTAGCTGTCAGCAGCTAGAAATATCTGAGTAGAGCACTTTGGAATTTGCACCAGCCATGTTGAATGTTGCGTGTGTGGGTTTTATGGCGAGTCGAATAATCCAACCACCGCCTTCTACTTGTACCGCGGTGCTCTCTGAGGCCCTTGGTGTCTTAGCGAGGTGCAACCTTCCATAGTGGGATGGTAAACCTGCAGTGTGCCTTCCACTAGAAAAAAAACCTGAGGCATCTTGGGATAGCAGGGGGAAGATTGGTAGAAAACCTATTTCTGAAGTGGATTTGTGCCCTTGTAATCCTGATTAATTTTGACCCGTTGTGCTCATTTTAAACAGAGCATTACAGTAAGCGTGAACACAGCGAGCTCCAGGGCGAAACTAGGAGCTTAGCGGCTTTGGGAGGCTTAGCTGCAGATGGCATTTTAAGCCGGACTTAATAAATTGTTTCCATTAAACTTACCGGCCCACACATACTGGATTAGACCAGTGGAACAAAGGAAGAGGAGAGCGTGCAGACGGAGCAGAGGAAAGAAAGCACACACATCTGCCATGGTGCACATCTGACACACTTAATGTTTCTCAGAGGCCAAGCAAAAGGTGAAGATGAGGTTACTGTGGTGCTAAAGGAGCTAGAAGCTTTTGGACATGAGTGTCCCCTGCTCCGGGTCTCCTCCTCATTGGCGAAGTCAGACAAATTTGCCTAATTGACATTGAAGTAAACAAACCAAAAAAAATAATGCATAAACCATTTAGCTTGGCAGTGGATTTAGGGCTTATCCCACTTACTGTTGTTTATATATAAACACATTACCAGTGCTGTAGCTTAAGGATTAAGTATCTGCCCGTACACTTGCTTATTTTTCTCATATGTGCATAAGCTTTGGTAGGAAATCAGTTTCTTATGTTAACCCCCCCTCTCTCTATCATCAGCCCGCCTCCACTGTACCTCCATCCCCCACCGGCTCATGGCTTGTTCCCTAAGCTCTCATTATGTGCTGCACAGTCCAGGGTCTCTGTGTCGAATCGCTAATCAACCACCCTGTCTGCAGGCTCTTTCTCTCAATAGGTGCTGAGTGGCCTTTGTTCCACTGCTGCTGTTTGCTGCATGTCAATAAAAAGAGTATGGTCTCCTCCTCCTTTCCCTCCATTGCAGCTCAGAATTATATGGCTGTCGCTGCCATGGAAGCTTACATTAGGATGAATCCCAGCCTCACCTGATTCTGAATAGAGGAGCGAGGCAGGAAGGTGATTGGAGAGGGAGCAGTGAGGTCAGGGGCAGGGGGATCGAGGGCAGCTCTGACATAGTGAAGTAGATGAGAGAGCATGTTTGTATTCGGCCCGGCAGCTCTCCTCTGGCCAGGTCAGAGTAATGTATCACCAACCTCCGTGGCCAGGCTGACTGTTTGCAGCCTCTTGCCCATTAAATAATGAATGTAGGTTGACCCTCTAACCAAGCTTTGCGCTACCATTAAATCAGGATAGAGTGCAGGTAGCTGGAGTGTGGCTGACTGCAGAACATAGATTCGAATTCTAGTGTCAGAAGTAGCCATCACTGATGAAAACATCCTCATTAGCTCTGGGTACCCGCTGTGATTTCTTTGGTAAATGCCCGACAGGACTTTGTTTTTAAATCAGAAAGAACAAAGATCCTGTTTTGACGTAGAACTTGGCTGAAGATGTGCGTTTCTGAGGCTCGGCGTGTCAGATGCATCACAAGCATGCACAAAGCCGCCTTGGTTTGGGAGCTTCGCGTGCATAAAAGAAATCCTCCCTTCACGCCTAACTCAACATCTCTTTTTAATGCGCCGAACAGCAGTTCATGTTTTTCATTATTTGTCTTAAATATTTAAAAGATACAAACTCTTTGCAGTTAACAAAAAAGCAGACGAGCTAGCTGAGGTTTTGGAAAACCAAGGCAGCTTGTTTCTTCATTAGTCTTGAGGTCATTACTGTTTAGAACTATAAAACTGCTTATGAACTGAGTGATTTGTTTTTGAAGGAAAAGAGCTGATATTAAGCTCCTTTTATTGATGGTGCTAATGCTGTTTGTGCAGCCATCCTTGTCCGAAAGATGGAAATAAATACGGGGAGCTCAGCAGAGATAAGACACGTGTTTAATTATTAATTGAGCTATTACTGACAGAGATTGCCTTTTTTGATTTAAAGCAGGAAGACCTGCCTCAGGGACAGAAAAAGCAATTACAGAAT